GCCCCCTATAGTCAGCGATGGAGTCAGCTGACTATACCTGGGAGCCGGCAACCACAGCCACTCAGTCTTGGAAGGGTTGAGCCTGAGCCTGAGTCTGTTTCTCCCCATCCAGACCCGTACAGCCTCCAGACATTGAGCCAGTGGTTCTCAACCTTTTTAATGCCGAGACCCCAACCGGTCGTAAGTCGAGGACTAAACCGGTCGTAAGTCGAGGACTAAACCGGTCGTAAGTCGAGGACTAAACAGGTCGTAAGTCGAGGACTACCCAACCGGTCATAAGTCGAGGACTTTCCCTGCCCGGGAGCACCGCACATGCGTGGTTCCGCCCCCTGCGCCGGCCAAGGCGTAGCTGGCAAGCGGCAGAGACGGAGCAGGCCGACCATCAGCTGGCCCAGCCCAAGGGAGGTAAGGCACCTGCCGGAAAAGGGGAAAAAATGGCGGACAAAAAAAATGGTGGACAGCCTTGCTTGGCGACCCCCGTGAAATGGTCGATCGACCCCAAATGGGGTCCCGACCCACAGGTTGAGAACCACTGCTTTAAGCACTGTGTCTTCAAGGGAATCTCTCTCTCTCTCTCGTTTGCACCTTTTCTAAGACCACTGAGTTTTTTGCTTTGGTTTTGATGCTGCTCTAGGTGCCTCATGTTTTGGCAATTTCCTGCCTGCTTTTTGTGGTTTAATTTGGGGTGTGTGTGTTTTCACGCTCCTTCGTGCAGCTCTCAAGTTTGCAAGCCAAGAGTGCTCCTACCAGGCTTGAAATGGGGGAGGGGGGAGGGGAGAAGCTACATTTCCCCTTAAGTACTGTGTCTCCAAGGGAATCCCTCTCTCATTTGCACCTTTTCCAAGGCTGTTGGGCTTGTGCAGTGCCTAGTTGGTTTGGTCTCTCTCTCTCTCTCTCTCTCTCTCTCTCTCTCTCTCTCTCTCTCTCTCTCTCTCTCTCTCTCTCTCTTTCTCTCTCTCTCTCTCTCTCTGAATGGTTTTTTCAGCACTTCCTCAATGTGCTGGAAGACTGAGATAAGGACTATTTCTTTTCCTTCCCATTTTCTTAGAAGAAGAAAGTCACTGATCTAATCTAATACAATGTAATAATAATAGAAATAAAGTGCATTATTTATTTGCTTATTTAGAAAAATTAGAATAAATATAATGCACTTAAATCATCCTGAAACTTCCCCCTGCCCCCCCCCCCCCGTCCATGCAAAAACTGTCTTCCTTGAAACCGATCCCTTGTCCCAAAAAGGTTGGGACCTCTGCTGTATATTACAGTGCAATCTCTCAAGATGTTCCAAGCTATCTTCTCTTATTACTTCTATATGTTGTTTGTATTTATTTAAAATTAAATATATTTTAAGATATATTTACCAAGCAACTCTTGGTGATTTACAAAGGAACATCAAATGTAGATTAAATTGCAATAAAAACAGAATGGACTGGAGAGAAAATGCACCTGTAACATACAACTGAACCAGATTCATACAAGAGCCTTGGTGGTGCAGTGGTTAGAATGCAGTATTACAGGCTAATTCTGCCAATTGCCAGAGTTCAGCAGATTAATTCTCACCAGCTCAAGGTTGATTCGGCTTTCCACCCATCCGAGGTTGGTAAAATGAGGACCCAGATTTGTTCGGGGCAATATGCTGAGTCTCTAAATTGCTTAGAGAAGACTGTAAAGCACTGTGAAGTGGAATATAAATCTAAGTGCTGTTGCTATTGCAATTCTAGCCCAGTGCCTGAGGAAAGATACTAGTTTTCACAGCTTTCCTGTTAAGGTTGGGTCTCAGGGTAACATATTGTTCTACAGGGCAGGAACAGCAACAGGGAAGTTAATAAATTAAATCCATTTTAAATCCATTTTAATTTTTTAAATCCCTCATCTTTACCATTCTCAACACACTACTATTAAGTTACCAATGCAATATGCTTTTGGAAACTAGGGAGAGTACAAAAATATATGACAGGTAACTGAAAACTGCCTTTGTGCTCTATTAGTAACGATTTTTTGGTTGCAACCTAAGAGATTTCTGCAGCTTGCAACTCACATCGCATGAATTAATAATGATCAGATGACATCACTTTTCCCCTTATCCTGACCCTTTTCTTCCCAGTGTCTCTTCCTTTCAAGAATACAGAGACTGCAGCCAATTTGCAGCCATGAACATTTTATATTGTCTCACTGCTGTAATATTTTTCTGCTTCCAAGCTGCTCAGGGTGAGTGATGATTCAATAATATACTATACAAAGAACATCTTATTGTTATAAATATTTTGATGAGAATACTATATTAATTTTTAGCCCAATCACTAGTTTAAAAAGATCATAAGCTCTGCATGGATTTAAGCTTGGAAAAGCATTTTAGGAGATTGGCTCATATATTAGAGGTAAAGGAAAAGGAATGGAGAAATGTTCAGCTTGCATGTTTTATTGTATGTACTTTTATGCTGGCTTATATGTAATCATATTTTTATATGTAATATTTTCTATATGTAAATTTTATTTGCTGTTAAATTAAGGCTTCCTTATGTAAAAGCATCATAAGTAAAAAAAAACCTTATAACCATATAATAGAAAGAAAAACACATATTTAAAAACTGTATTTCTATTTGCCTAGTTTGTAAAGAATAAAAGTATATTGATTCCAAGAACTTTCAGAGAATCTTCTCCACTGAATATTGTTTACTCTGGTATCCATCTGTCTCGCTGAAAAATTGGGCTTGGATTTTATTTTTGTAAGAAAAAATAGTCTGGTCAGATAGTTCCCCCTTTACCAATTTCATTATCACATTTATCATATGCGAGGTTGGGAAGTCAAAGTAACACTATGGATTGAAAGGAATCCCAGGACTGTTAATAGCTAGTCACAACTGCGCTATATACATTTTTGTCTGGCTGTTTCTCCCACAGTACTTTAGGTGAAAGAAAAATATGCTGGCCTCAGCCTTGCTGGCTTCAGAAAAGCTTGTATAAGGTATCTTTTTAAGCCTGCTATTTTTTAAGGCTCTAGGTATTTATTTGACAAATGTCTATATAGGTAGTTTTCAACCTATGACCACAATTAAGGCCAAAATGTCTCTTGTTAAGCAAGACAGTTGCTAAGTGAATTTGGCCCCATTTTACATTCTGTCTTGCCTTTCTTGTTAAGTGAATCATTGCAATCACAACCTTTTTTGTTAAGTGAATAATTGCAGTTGTTAAGTTAGTAACACAGTTGTTAAGTGAAACTGGCTTCCCCATTGACTTTGCTTCCCAGAAAGTCTCAAAAGATGATAACATGATCTGTGGCCATTATAATTATGAGTCAATTATCAATTTTGATCATGTGGCCACAGGGATGCTGCAGTGGTTGTAAGTGTGGAAAATGGTTGTAAGTCACTTTTTTAGTGCCGTTGTAATTTCGAATGGTCACTTAATGAACTATTGTAAGTCGAGGACCACCTGTACTGCATGACTCCCAGCTCAGCCATACAGCTCATGCTCTTTTGTGTTTACATGTATGATGTGCCATCTTGCCTATCTTGCCTAATGATTGAATCGTTTGTATAGTAGTAATGTTGAAAAGATAATGTGAAGAGAAGATTTCAAAGCTCTGATAAACATTTTATTTTTACAGAAGACCACTTTATAGAAGCCATTCTGCTTACTTGTGCATCAATGGGTGGATTCTGCATTCTACAACCCAATGAGACCTGTCCTTCAGGTGTCCTCCTGGATGTGCCTTGTCATTTCAGAAGAAAGTGTTGTTCAAAGACTGATGCTTGACTCCCATCTTTACATGCTTATTGGATAAATAATCAGCTTTCATCGGTTCCGCTAGTTAGCTGTACTTGATTTGTCATGGTATTTCCTACTTGAGATAGGTAACGAAGTTTGATAGTCAAGCCTCTCCAGAATTTGGACACTTATTCAAAATTTATTTTGTGTATATGCTATGTCCCACTTTGCTATCATTATTGACAACTCCATATATTTTGCCAAGCCACATTTATATCTGTAGGTCCCTCACTACTTATTTAAAGGTCCATAATTCATTTGGATGGAATCCTAATTTACAATGACAATAAAGAGAAAGAATATGATCGCCTCAGTGAAAAATTGAAAGCACACAACTGTTTTCCAAATTAAGGAAATTAAATTGTCAGTGCTGAATTCTGAGGAAAATATAGGTTGAAAATCCTCTTAAAATGAGAAAAAGAAAAAAGGACATCTCTCTTGGAATCAGGAAAGGGCAAGTCCCCATTGGAAAAAAAATCTGTCCATCGTTTCCTGATAATATTTTATTATTTCAATTTACTGATTTATTGACCCATGGAAGAGATTCCATTTGCCTTGTCAACTAGATTTAAATTAATACCTCATGTTCAACTAACTGGGTTTGTAGAAGAATGTTGATTCCCCCCCCCAGAAGATGGCAATCTATAGAGTTCACTGAAGTTGAGAGAGAAAATAATTCAGTTTTAGTCTTGAAAGTACAAATATGACATACCACCATCATCTTTGCTTTATTAAAATATTGGGAATATTTAACAGGCAGAATTTTAATTTGACCTAGTAGGTATATTTTATGAGAAATTTTAGAAATGCATAGATCAGATAGTGTTTATAGCATGTTAATGTAGTTTTACATATTTATATGGAATTACTTCATTATTTTCCTGCTATTATTGAAATAAAAATTATAATGGGCAGCTGAAATCTTACAAAAGAAAATTCTGAGCATCAGTTTGCTATCACATGAAATTAGAGTTATTGTATAGTACACTCTGTTAAATTTCCTGTTTTTGGTATTGGGATGTAGATTGACCTCTTCCAATCAGTTGGCCATTGTGTCATTGTCTAGTTTTGCTGGCATAGTTTGGTTAGAAACTTTAGTGATTCTTCTTCTGTTGCTTGCAATATTTCGGTATTCCATCAGTTCCTGTAGTTTCACAGTATGTTCTGAAATGTATAGAGGCATCATTTTGGTTGTTTGAAGAAATCATTGGAGAGGTTAAATTGATTTCCTGCTTTATTTCAGTTTCCTAAGTTATAAAATAAATTCCATTTTCCTCTTTAATGTTTTCAATTTTCACATTCCAGTTCCAATTACAGGCAACTCATCTTGCTTGCATGTTCTTCTGTTTCAAACTGAATTGAGCATAAAACTCATCAACCTCCTCTTCTTCTGCATTGGTGGCTAGAGTACAAAGTTGAATGATCATTATATTAAAGAGTTATCCACAAAGTCTCATTCATATTATTTAGTCATTGAATTGCACTGTAGCCAAACACTGTTCTTGTTTTCAATGTCCTAACTATAAAAACAACACCATTTTTTCTTTGTTTTTCATGTCCTGAGTAATAAATAGATCAAAAGTGTGCAATTCAAAAGTGTGCAATTCAAAAGTGTGCAATTCCAGTTCATCTCAATTTCATGATACCTAAGATGTCTGTAGTCATTTCATCTTTCATTCTGTTGTACTTTACTTTGTTCATACTATTTACATTACATGTTCTCACTGGAATTCTCCTTTGCAGCTTCAGATTTTCTTTTCCTGTATGGCAGCATCAGCAAAAAAAAAAAGCTTTAATCAAGCCACTAACAAACACTATTTACTACAAAAGATCATTAGATCTTCTGTCATGGTTCTGACACATGAAACTCTTCAAAGAACTTTGAGGCATTGTTTACCTTAAAGAATCTTTATTCGAGTAGCATAGCTTCGGCATGTACATGTACACGTACTTCTGTAGCATGTTAAATACCATCTGACCCGAGGAGCCTCCTGTCTGGTACTATATCATTAATAATTTTATATTTTCTCTCCATGTGGTTTTCTTGGTAAGAAATACAGGATCGTCATTGATTATACAATACACAACATGATGTTTTTACTTAGCAGGAACTGAAAAATAATGTGGGAAAAAGTTAATTGTAATAAGCACAGTCATATTATTTATATAAAGCCAACAGATTCTGATAATAACTTAAATAACAACATAAGTTAGGCATAAATAAAGCTGACAAAGGCAAGATGGAAGCTGGTCGACCTGAGCACTTTTTTTTTAAAATAGCCGCCACTATGGGAATAATGAAATACTGGTAATTGATATCATGGTTAATGAGAAAGGGAGGGAGAGAAGGAAGCAAGGAAGAAAGGAGGAAGAGGGAGGGAAGGAGGGTGGCAAGGAAGGAGAAAAAGAAAAAATGAAGAAGGAAGGAAAGGAAGGAAGGAAAAGAAGGAAGGAAGGAAAAGAAGGAAGGAAGGAAGGAAGGAAGGAAGGAAGGAAGGAAGGAAGGAAGGAAGGAAGGAAGGAAGGAAGGAAGGAATAATTTTCAACGGTCCCTGTCAGCTTCACCCAAAGAAATTCTTCAGTGGGGAAGCTGATAAAAGTCGCTCTGCTCCCACTGCTTTTTTGCATGACTGTGGTCATTCTGTTTCTCTCTCTTTAGGTAAGAAAATATCTCTGAAATGATGACCCAACAGGTCACAGGTTATCTAGTGTTATAATTATTACCCTGAATATTTATATACAATACTAATCAGAACTAAGGAAGAAAAATATTTTTTTTTAATTTGAGCTAAACCAGCCTACCTGAATGACTATCACAATGTTTTATTTTGGTGCCTCAGTTTCATCATAAAATATTTGTGAAGTTGTTGTTTTAGGTAAAAAACTTTCAGCTGGTGTAGTTGCATATTCACACTCTGTAAGCCACCATATTCTGTACATTAGAAAAGGAATACATTATTTCAAGTAGAAATCTATTTTATAGGTATAGAGGATTAGGTCAAGGTAAAGATAAAGGGGTGCCTGTGGATTTTACTCCACTAGTCATTGCTGACTTTAGGGGGCGATGCTCATCTCTGTTTCAAAGCCATTGAGACAGCATTGTCCGAAGACATTTCTATGGTCATGTGGCCAGCATGACCACATGGAGCTCTGTTACCTTCCCACCAAAGTGGTACTTATTTATCTACTCGCAATTGTATGCTTTTGAACTGCTAGGTTGGCAGGAGCTGGGGTGAGGACAGGAGCTCACCCCATTATGTGACACTCAGGTCTTGAACCTGGGCTGCCGGCTTTCCAGCTGACAAGCCCAGTATCTTTAATGCTGAGCCCATAAAGGATTAGAATATATGTTGATTAAATGTATAATTGATAGTTGTTTGATTGTAGGTTGATACATGAGTGGATTTTTTGAAATTGCCATGAAATAAAGGGGAAAATAAAATGTTAAGGATTCTGCAATGGATGCCTTTAAAGACTTTTTTTAAAGAGCTTGCAGCCCTTTGATCTGAATACTATACATACTATCATATATCTTTGCTACAATAGCATATAGCCTACAAACAGAAAATTACAAGGATGATCTCTTGTACCTTACATAATTTTATAAGGTAGAACAAGTAATATTTCAATATGCCCATTAATCTGATAGACAGTGATCTATCATGTCCTGTGTAGCTGGCAAGACTAAAGAAGCAGGAAAAGTACAAATTTCAATGGTATGTCTTTAATACCAGTCTTGAGTAAATCCAGTATGTAGACAATTAATAGCAATTTTCCAGTTGTATTATAGTTAATAACTTAATATAGATATTTTGTATTACTACATATTCAGTATTGATGTCTGAATTGAACTACCATAATGTAAATGCAAAATACCAAATAACAATTTTGAACTGATCCAAAAGACCTGTATTCTGTACCCTGGGAAAACTGACTTACTTGGCACAGCACTGGAAGTCAAATTCACACAGTCCGTAGTAAGTAAAACAGTCAGGACAGGAAACGTCTTTTGGGTAACAGAAACCTTTAAGACGCTGTTGACATTCAGATTGGCCTCCAGCAAGATCTATATGAAAAAATAAATATATATATTTAAAAATCCTTTGTGCATTATACTATATATAAATACAAACATATATAAAGGTATCTCACAGATACACATTCCCTAAGTATGATTCTGAATGAAATATTTTATTCCAAATTACAAATGTGTCAGTGCATTTTAAAGATAGATAGATAAACAGATAGATAGACAGATAAATAGAGAATATATATATATTCTTTGTATATGTATATATATGCATATGAGATCATATTTATTATTATTGATTTGAATTATTATTCTAAAGAAGAATATTCGTGGCTCAGTGTTGATATGAAGGGTTCTTGGTGTTCTCTGAGCTTGGTTGTTTCCTTGCAGACATTTCATTATGTACACTTGGTAACATCATTAATGCTAGCACAGTACTAGCACTAATGATGTTCTCTAGTTTGGGTAATGAAACGTTTGCAAGAAAACTACAAGCTCAGAGAGCACCAAGGACCCCTCAATTATTATATTATTTGAATTTATTAGCTGTCCAACTCCAATGGAATGTTATGGTATGTGGGAATGACCTTAGAGGTACAGCAACTATCTCAGAAGAGAGACCCTCCCTAGTATTTTGGACTATAAAGACTATGGGTGGGTGAGACTTGTAAGATTCTTTTAATGTTAGCTTACAATAAACTCAGAGTTAGTATTGGTGTGCTTTTTGTCTGAATTATCTTGTAAGGCTGATATAGAGCCATGGGAAATTGTGAGTTGTTGTTGAGGCAGTGAGCTCTCTGGATGTCAGTTTGTTCCTCTCAGCAAGGTAGTTGAACTAGAGAAGTTGGAAAGGTAGGGAGATTGATAGATTATTAAATGTACAAAGGTGGGAAGGTTCTGAAATACCCACAAAGAAGGAATGGTTGGTGAAGATAACAGAATTTGCAGAAATGCAAAATGGAATTGTTTAATTAGGGAATAGCCAATGACTACATTTATTAGTGACTAGAAATCTTTTGTGGATTTTTTTTTTGCTAAAAAGTGAAAGAAAAGTAACATGATTTATGAGTTTGATGATTAGTTCTTCAGAATTTGCACAGTGGTTAAAATGGTTAAGACATTTTTCCTGAACTAGAAAAACCCAAGTTCAATTCACACTTGACCACATTGTTATTGAGTGACTTAGGATCAGCAATTCTCTTTCTACACAAACTACTTCACAAGATTATTGAGGACACCTCTGTGCATGCCACATTAAGATCTCTGAAAAAAGTCAAAAAATGCATGCAACAACAAACCAGCAAGTAAATGATGCAGCAGGAATTTAGATTTGCCTACAACTCTGCAGTAAACAGGGAACTATAATGAGTGTGGTGTAAAAAGTGGATGGTGTCCAATATGTGTGGGCCTTGTTTATACATGAGTTTTTAAAATGTATACTTAATAATGGAATGCTATTATGGATATTTTATATACTATTTACAAGCATATTCAGCATATCTAAAATATCACATTGAAAGGACCTAAAATATTTCATAAAGACATCTAGCATAATTCCATCTCACACACTATGACTATATTAATGTATTAATGTAATATATTGCATTGCAATGTGCTTAAAGATTGCTCATTTTTGTACCTGGACCAACTACACCTTTCAGAAAGAGAGTCAAAAAGAAAAGATGATAGATCTTCATGGCTGATGGATCAAGTAAAAACTTCAACGTTCACAGACCGAAAGTATTCCTGTTGGGAAATACAGAGTTAGTATCCTCATTGACAAAGGTGAAAAAGGCAGATCTTTCTTTCAGCAAAAGTGAGAACTGCTGTCCTGATCCAGACTGAAACCAAAACCTCTCCCCAACTCTGAAGTTCTGAAGCTTCTTGGTTGAGAATCAAAATGTTTTCTTCTTCTTCCTCAAGGAAAAAAAAAAAAACTCCAGCTGCCTTTTGAAAAAGCATCTTTGAGGCAACTATGACCTGGATAACTGAGAATCTCCACAGACATCCATGCAAAAATATATATATAATGATTGTCTGAACAGATGCTGATTCCCCTACAACATGTTAGAATTCTATGGTGCATTTCCAGGATCCACATCTACTCCTGTTGATTCATTGGAAGTACAACTATGAACAAATCAGGGCTCCAGGAGAAGATGCTCACTTCTACCCAAACAATTTAGTGCAGTGGTTCTCAACCTTTTTAATGCCGCGACCCCCAACCGATCGTAAGTCGAGGACTAAACTGGTCGTAAGTCGAGGACTACCCAACCAGTCGTAAGTTGAGGACTTTCCCTGCCCGGGAGCGCCGCGCATGCGTGGTTCCGCCCCCTGCGCCGGCCAAGGCGTAGCTGGCAAGCGGCAGAGACGGAGCAGGCCGACCACCAGCTGGCCCAGCCCAAGGGAGGTAAGGCACCCGCCGGAAAAGGGGAAAAAAAATGGCAGACAGCCTTGCTTGGCGACCCCCGTGAAATGGTCGATCGACCCCAAATGGGGTCGCGACCCATAGGTTGAGAACCGCTGATTTAGTGTATCTAAGAACTACGGTTACAGAGACTCTGTTGACTGGCAATCTCATAGGCTTTTGTTTCTATGCTCTCATAGTTTAACTGCCACTTCCAGTTATCAGAAGTAGCCAAAAACACTTTCTAACACCTGGAGAATATTTTGTCAGGAGTAACTGAAAGTCCTTACTATTTCTCTCAAAGAACTTTTAGTAACCCTGCAAATGATATGCATGCCTTCTTTCTGCCCGTGATGCTATTATTTTTTTATATCTGTAAGATACTTACAAAATATCTTTATCTATGTGCTGGTATGCATGCATCTGTATGTATGGCTTCTCTAACTTTTTGAACTAGAAATGGAAGAACCTATTTCTTTCTGCAGACAGAATCCTTTGGATAATTTGTCTGCTTCTTGACAACCAGCCTGTCCTGCTGAACTCCATCTCTCAATGCACAATGTCCNGTCTGCAAATCAATAGAAGTCACACATACTACAGGGACAGAAATCTGTCATGATTGCCATTTTGTTTTTGTTTTTTTTACCCTCTCCTATGAATGCTGCAGACCAAAGCTGACATTTTGTATTGATTATTTAGCATGTATTCAAATTACTGTGCCTAAGAATATTCAAAAATTTAAAGACCGGAAAACATGCAGAAATATTGCTATCTGGAAATAACCAGAACTTTGCTGATTTCAACAGCAGATGAAGCAGCCAAGAACTTCCTTCATTCTTGCTCATAAATTGGACCTAAGCACACCTCCCCTGCAAGTCCCACTTTTCTACACTTTCATTGGAAACCTTTCTTTTCTTTGAAAAGAGTAACATTTTAGTGAACTTTGGAAAAGAATGGACAGGTGATTGGGAGGTGGTTTGTATTAAAAATTGTTGTACAGATTTGATCAGCAACAGTTCATCTCACAGGATTGTTATTGTGGGGAAAATAGGAGGAGAAAGGAGCATAAGATATGCCACCCTGAGTTATTTATAAAAATAAAAACAATATAATTAAAACAATAATAAAGGCAGGATATAAAATAGCAATGAACATATGAAGATACAGAATGTTTGGAAATTAATAAATGCATTTAAATCATATTTTAAGATAGGGTAACAAAATGTTATTCCATTCTCAAGTCAATCTGATACTTGCATGGAAAATATATTCTAAACAGTGTTCAGATATATTTCTTGCATTCTTCCATGTCCACTTTCCATCCCTGGGTGTTATACCTTTAAGGCAATCTGAGTATCACAAGGCATAAGAATCAAACTCCTTCCTTTTCTGTTACCTCAATAACCTTGTTCCCTTACTGCATAAAACTAATATCAGTGAAATTTTCATAATATTGTAAAATTATTGTTTATCTATTAGTCTCTTTCTAATGGTTAACCAAACTCTTGAGCAAGAATGAAAAATCCATGAGTTGCAGGTGCCCTGCTCCCCTTACTTTTCTTTTGCGATCCCCAGAATCACGCAGCCAAAACTTGGGAAGAAACAATCCAAAAATACAAGAAAAACTAACATATTAAATCTTACCATTCCTGGAAAAAGCTTATCTCCATTTTTAATAAGTCTCATTCCATTCCCTGTTCTGACATCTTTATACATCATTCTATTCTTACCAGTTATAGGAAATAAGAAATATATAAAAGCTTGCCTTCCATGATGAAAAACTGAAGGTTAGGCTAAACAGACAAAGAAAGAGAACTGCTATTCCCTTGAGAGATGCCCCCAGCTCATATGAAAGTCTGCTTCCATCTGCCAATTCTTACCTTTTCCAGTACTGATAGGTGGACAAAGCCCAAATTTCATCTATGGTGGTTGCTTTTGTCTAGAGGGTGTTACCAGATCCCTCCCACTTTCGTCTGTTTTTCCCCATCCCTTTGTACTTTTGTGTAAAATAATGTTAAGCAGGTTCATAGAAGGTTGAAAATTGCATTCATAGATTTGGGAAGAATTGTCTATTTGCACCAGTAGATAGTTACAGATAGTTTACAGAGTTTTAAAAGAGTAGTTTATCTTGACAGTACCCCTTCAAAGAGCTTTGGCAAAGAAAGCAAACCTCAGTTTCCATATGTCTATGCATATGCTTCAGACATTTCCCAATGGACATACTACACTACCCCTCCCCCCCATTTGCTACCCAAACATAGTTTCAATTGGCTTCTGAGCTTAGTCACTATTTCAAGCACAAAACTGGGTTTATTTTTCTAGCCAGCTGCAAAATAAAATTTTCAACTGATTCTCTACAAGTAGAAAAAATAATAATCCCTTCTGTTGGTCCCATTCATTAATATAACACAAAAATACATATTTATACTCACACATATATGTAGCCATAGCTTCAGGCAGTTTAGCGAAGAATGCTGAATTGTTAAATTATGAGGCAACAGTGATTGAGTAATTAATAAACAAGTCCAAAGTATCAAGATTTCCAACAAAAGTAAAGAAATCCAAAGAAAGTTGGTAAGATGCAAAATCAAATTAACTGACTGAAATTCTTTTTGCTTTTATACAGATAGATTTTTAGCTTGTGAGAAACATCAAACTTGTTTGGCAAGTCTGGTTAGGGGAATTTTTTTCTTTTCTTTCTTCCTATACAAAGATAAGAGAGAGAGAGATGAGAGAGCAATGGATGGAAACTAGTCAAGAAGAGAAGCAATGTACAACTTTAAATTTCCTGACAGAACAATTAATCAGTGGAACAACCTGCCTCCAGAAGGTGTGAATGCTCCAACACAAGAAGTTTTTAAGAAGGGATTGGGCAACTAATTTGGTTAAGTAAAGGTACTTAAAAGAAAGGGAAAATATAGGAACATTGATTTTTTTCTCTCCTCTCTGTCTTCTATGCAACCATGTGATATGTTTGTCAAGATTTGTGCCTTCCCTAATTTGAGTTAATTGAGATTTATAGTGGGAATGACCAGGGTGTGAAAACTGAGTGTTCTGTTTTCCTCTCCTTTACTCTTTGTCTTTGTGTGTGTGTGTATGTGTGTGTGTGTCAAGGTCTTTGTGTGTCTTCAAGGTAAATGTTAACTGTTGGATGTCTCTAATACCTAGAAACAAGAATTTTAAAATTCTGCTAGAAATTCTGTTAAAATAAGCCACCGAAAGGAAAATACTCTCATCCTGTTTGCTCGGCCAGCAAAACAGGGTGAAGAGAAATGTGTTATTTTCTTACTTTCTCTCTGTGTGCTTTTAAGAAACAGCCCAAAGTTGTCAGGAGGGAATGTGTAAAGTTCATTTACAGGAAAAGTTTCATTCTTGCATTTACTGTATGTGTTTAAGTGGGCTTCATCTATCTACTTAACATCTGCAATGTTAACTCTAAGGCCTTTTCAAACTCTGCCTGCAAGTTACTCCCCCCCCCCCCGAATTCCACTTCTCCATTTCTTATCCTCAGTTCTCCATGCCTTTGGACTGGACCCTGATGAAGATTTTTCTTCCAACAGTACCTTAGACCAAACTGGCTCTCTATGGTAACATTAAGGTAGATAGAAGCAAAGAAGAAGATTTATATCAACCCAACAGTCTAATAAAGTAGAAGATACCAATGCTATCTTATGATTGAGCTTTAGACAATCATATAAAATCACTCACAATTTCAGAGTATGTAGCTGAACGACTAACACTGAAGTTTAAAAAAATGAATCGATACACAACATGAAATGTTCTACAAATGAACTAAATAACCAGGAAGTAAAGGTGGAAAATATATGGTGAAATAGGTGGGGATATTTAAGTTTTAATTCTATTATATTTCTGGCAACTATTCATTCTATTCCTGTAAAGGCTTGGCCCTGATATTTGATCTAAGCTGGCACATTTCATGTAGGAAACTATGCTGTTCCTGTAAAAGCGGTTCTGCATAGTCCACAAAGAACACAAAAGATACATTCATAAATGAAATGTTCTCAGCTGTGGTAACTGTTTCCTAATTAATGTTGGTGTGGCTCATTAAATAGAAGGATTTCTATATATCTCTATTTTATTATATTATCATTGCTTCACATGACTGATTATTGCTCTTGTTATACAATAGATCATATAGGAATTTGCTCAAATATTCTTGGTTGTCCTGCTGACTGTTACAACAGAGTCTGGCTCTGGGAAAACCAACCAAGACAACAAAAAACAGTTACCAGGCAACAGCTTATGCTGTTGTAGCTGTCTCTGAAGAATAGGTGGTAGGATTTTATCTAGCCTGCTGCATCTGGATATTGTCCTGACATTGAAATAAGCACATTGCCCAAAATCTGGGAGCCAGTGTGAGTAGTAGTTGGACTAGTGCTGGACTAGGAGTAAAGAGATCCAACCAACCCTTAGGCATGGAAGAGAGCTGGGTGATACTGGGCCAGTGATTCTTTCCTAACCTAGATGGAAACATTTATCTATTGACACTCATTTTATGAACATGGGAGACTACAATCCATTGTCTTCAATTGTAAAGGCCTTCATTCCAAGAGGACAGTTTCAGGCTGATATTTATTTGCATTATAGATACTCGTAAATTAAGACGATTATTACTGTACAATTAATATGTAAGAAGAATATGAAATTAAAACAATGACAACACTTAAATGATAAAGCTAATTCCTATTGTAAGTTTCAAAAAGAGGTGACTGATATAGCTTAAGAGTCTCTTGTTGTTTTCAAGCATCTTTTTGTGGCCTCATCCAATTCTGCTGAAAATTAGTGGCATTTTTTCTTGCTATGTTGAGACAGTAAACATAAAATAGTTTTATCTTATTTAAAATAATAAAGGAACTTTCCAAGTCTAGGATGACAACATATGAAAATATAATCACAGGTATGCATGGCTTCATCAGTTTCCTTGATGGACCTACCTACTATGACCTACAGTTTCATGTAAAGTATTATTTGTCTATTTGGCTTCCTGTCTCAAAATTTTGTTGTCATTGGAGATGAAAAATGAGAAGAAGGGTACTTGAGTAAAAGTTTCATAAAAACTCTGAGTTCTGAAGAGAGAGAATATGTATTATTTACAATGCCCAGTGTATTGCCTTGGCCCTGTAAAGCTTCTTATGGAACTAAATGTATGGGGAAGCTGTAGCCACTACCTCCTAAAAAGAATGCTACACTAAGAGACAACAGCCCCCTTTGTTCTAGTTTGTTAAAATACAACTAAACAAAGAAATGATATCCATCAGTCAATTGCAAAAGGCAGCTTTACTTGGGATAGCTTACTGTATATCCTCTAACAATAGCTTTAACACTATGAAACAAACATCTGCCTATCCCAGGTCCTTGGGAAGATGGACAAAAATATCAAATCCAGTCTAAACATCTCAATGACTGCAATAAACAACAATAATAATATCAACAATAATAATATCAGGAGTGATGAAGAAAAAAATGGAAGTCTTTATTTGCAAGCGAATTGCATGAAATGTACAATATTGTCAAGACTGAGTTGCCAAAATTACTGGAAACGTTGCCAGAGGTTTCAGTTTAAATGCAGCAAGACCCCCTGGGACCCTCAAGTTGAGAAGCTTTTGGAAAAGGAGCAGGTTAAAATCTTACAGGACTTTCAAATCCAAACAGGTGGACACCTTATTCTTAACATTCCTGATATACTAGTCATTGAAAAATGTAAGTCTGGAGCATTGATGATGTTATACTGGATGCTGCTAGGATTGAGGAAAAGCAGCCAGAAAAAAGAAAAGAAAAACAAGAATTTACAAATTGAAGTTGAACACCTATGGAAAAGAAATTTATCTAAGCAGCTGTTTGTGTGTAAATATGACACAAACCTGTTCTGGCAACTTTTTTCCAGGCATATGTCACAAACCACTTCTGAAAATGCCCTCTAGAAACCTGCATGGACTTAACCCATGTAGCCACCAGAATACAAATCTGATTCCAAGGAAAAATATACTATTATATTCAAGATATTGCCTTCATCTCATTCCAGCCCATGCATGAGGCTATCTGAAATACTCCTTCCCCTCTTCAGTCTTTAAATGGTATTTTGTCATGACAGATTGAAAGCATGTAAAATGTGAAGTGTATGAAAATTGTAGGAATGTGAATTTCAGTACCAATACCAGAATAACAGAGTTGGAAGGGACCTTGAAGGTCTTCTAGTCCAACCCCCTGCTCAAGCAGAAGACCCTATACCATTCCAGACAAATGGTTATTAAACCTCCAGTGATGGAGCACCCACAACCTCTGGAGGGAAGTCACTCCACTAATTAATTGTTCTAACTGTCAGGAATTTTCTCCTTAGTTCTAGGTTGGTTCTCTCCTTGATTATTTTTCTTACAAAAATATAGAAATGGGTATAGGAAAATGTAATTTTATGCTAGAAGAGACTATTGTGTATGCTTATGTAGAACACAAAACCTATTCAAGTCCAATCTACAAGTAATATTTCATATTTTTTCTACAGATGCCATTGTTGGTGCCCTTAGTGTCAAATGTTGTGTAGAAGTAAAATGACAATGTTATGTTGGTGGATGTCTTGCTGAACATTTTTCAGCAGATGTATACCTTTTAATATTGTGTGCTTTCATTGAAGACAATGAGATTTTAGGTAAAGTAAGCTTCCAGGTCACTACAACATCCCAAGTTGGACATACTGTATGTTGCATGACTATCTACACTCTGCTCAGTTTGTGCTGTATTAGTAACAATTTTCTGGTTGCAACCTAAGAGATTTCTGCAGTTTGCAATTCACATCGCAAGAATTAATAATGCTCAGATGACATAGCTTGATTTTCTTATCCAGATTCTTTTCTTCCCAGTGTCTCTTCCCTTCAAGAATCCAGAAACTGCAGCCAATTTGCAGCCATAAACATTTTATATTGTTTCACTGCTGTAATTCTTTTCTTCTTCCATGCTGCTAAGAGTGATTCAATAATATACTGTACAAAGAACATCTTGTTGTCATAAATATTTTGATGAGAATACTATATTAATATTTAGCCGAACCACTAGTTTAAAAAGATAATAAGCTCTGCATGGATTTAAGCTTGGAAAAGCATTTTAGTAGATTGGCTCATATATTAGAGGCAAAGTAACAGTTGGAGAAATATTCGGCTTGCATTTATTGTATGTACTTTTATGCTGTACCTTTAATCATATTTCTATACATAATATTTTCTATATGTAAATTTTATGCTGTTAAAATAAGCCTTCATTATTTAAAAGCATCATAAAAAACCTTATAACCATATAATAGAAAGAAAAACACATGCTTAAAAACTGAATTTGTATTTGCCTAGTTTGTAAAGAATAATAGTATATTGAAACCAAGAACTTTCAAAGTATCTTCTCCACTGGCTATTCTTTACTCTGGTATCTATCTGTCTTCCTGAAAAATTGGGCTTGGATTTTATTTGTGTAAGAAAAATTAATCTGGTCAGATAGTTCCCCCTTTATCCTGATGTATACCAATTTCATTGTAACATTTATCATATGTGAAGCAGGAAAGTCAAAGTAAAACTATGCTTTGAA